ATAAATATTACAGAGTGCAATAATCCATGGTATCATCATGACAAGACTAATTCTGTTTTGACAGACATGAGTGACAGGTCTGCTGCTGATGCCAAAGAGATTAAACAGAGTGATGATTCAGATGAGTCAAACTGTTTATAAATACCAAAGATAACATTTGCCTCGTGTTTCCTGAAAGAGTGAGTTATGCTATTTTTCCATGAAGTTTTCGACCTGGTCATTAAAGAGGGATCCATACCATCAGTTCAAAAGGAGGACACCAAGCATGAAAATCACTGGTCCAAACAGAGCTGATGTCTAACACTCTTGATATTCAAAGAAGAGAACTTGCTTGTAGAGGATGCAATTCATCTCACACAGTAGATGCCTTAAAATGAAATGGATATGCTAGAAACACCATTTCCTTGCACTAACTATAAAGGCAGTGTAGATGACTAAGTCAGAAGTTACTCTCTACAGTGGAGGTTAATTCCACCTTCATTGATTTGAATGGAGTCTGGACTAAAGTTTCACAAAGAATACTGTGAGCCAAAGGGGTGTTTATTTATTTAAGGGACCTTATTTTAAAAATAAAAATTTGAAATGTATAGCCTAAGTGACCAAGGTTCTTGGTTGGGAAGTCATTTTTGCAGGACATACTGAAATTCAGAAGCTGCTGCATACTGAGGCAAAAAAATGTGATGAAAAATCCTGCTGAAATATTACCTTTCAAAGAGACTAAAATCAAGAGACTTCATAGTTCTCTGAGTAATCAGAGCACAGAGAATAATGAAGAGGAGGGAGTTTATGGCAAGCTAGTAAAGCTAAAGCTGAACTTCAGAGACAGATCGCCTACTTATGATTATAGCACACAGCATGTTCCAATGACTTTCTGACACTTCATCTATCTTACTGCATGAACTGCTTCCAGCAGCAGATCTATGCTTCTAAACTCCCACTTCTATCTCTACTTGTCTTTCACTTCTCCCTTCATCTGATGCATTCAAAACTCACAGGACTATTTCAAGAACCAAGACCACCTGAACAACTAAAAGACATGCTGATTACTTGGATTTTAATATAAAAACACAGCATTATAGTGGATCAAAGACTAGCTGATCAGATTTTTTTTTAAAATCTCAGTTCCATTTGCATCTGACAAACATTTTGGCACTATCCTGGAAAAAAGGAAAAAAAAAACCCAGGTTTTTTTAATTTACTGAAACAGTGAAATGCATTATTACCACCAACTCTTATGTAAATCTTTTTTTTATGAGCAATAAAGCTGCATTTGAAAAGCAGGGAAACATGAACAGGTGTACAGATATTAGGTGATAGCCATGATCAACATGCCCATTCCTTGGAACGTGGAGGATTCCTTTTCACAATATATACTCTACACTAGCACTTTTAAAATTATTATTTTTATTTTACTTCAGGCCACACGAAGAAGCACAAAGGAGGTTATTACTGAAAACATGTCACATAGCTCAATTTTGGTTGTTCAGGGGAAGGAAACAAAGGGGCTTCTAAACACTTGCATCCTCTGTCTCCGTTCTGGCGTCCAGTACAATTCAATAAGCTTAGGAGGTACCTGCCTTCAAAACTGGACCAAAAGAAATCAACTCTATCAATCACTACTGACTGATTTGCTCTCTCCTGTATCTGAAAGGGGTAAGCTAGTGGAGATTTCCTGGTTTTTCAGGTTTGTTTGTTTGTTTTGCATGAAACCTACAACACAAATCCCACAAGTCCTACATAAAACCTTTTTTCTTGTGGACGTTGATACCCACAGCAAGTAAAAGTCTCTTGACTGAAGACAACTTCCACAGTCAGGTGTTTAACTGTTTTAGTTCTAAAAATTCATTCACTATGATCTTGTAGATTTTACCTCAGCTTCTATCTCTCAGTAGATTTCAGTGTATAACTTCATTTTTACAGATAAAGGCTTCTTCTGGTTATAACGAGCTATTTTTCCCCAATGATAGAAAGTTACCTCAAAAAAAGAAAAGTATAAAGGCATGCTTATGACTAGGATTTTCCACTGCACTTCTACTATCAGAACCACAGATAAATTCTGCTATAATCTGCATCCACAGCATCTGGAACACACCATCATAAATTTAAGCTGAACTGAAAAAACAGGCAATACATGAAATTTAGTCTCCTCTGACTTCTGCTGGCACAGAGAAGACTAAATTTCCACTGAACTGCCTTGGCTTCTTCACTCGAATTTTCCTTGACAGATAACAAAGATGAGCTGAGCAGCAGTTTTTAAATCATAAAATGCTACTTGTAAAGCTAACACAATGCTTCTGTTAATCAGACAGTTAATCTGTCAGCAGAATGCAGGATACTTGTACATAAATTCCCTTCTACAAAATCAGCACAGAATCCAGAAGTAATTTCTCTTATTTTCTAACTAGCACAAAGGTTATGCTTTGCCAGTTTTCTCAAATCAGTCTCAGTCATTTCTGATACTGTAGCATCTATTGCCAGAATATTTTCTTTCTGCTACAGATTTTCTCAGACACATTTAAGCAATGGGTTAAAAAGCAGGGGAACACTTCTGAACATGAGGGATATGATTAATTGAACAAATGGTACCAATTATGTTATGTCTGCCTTTAATCTAACCTAAAACACACGAGACACTTGTTTACAGCAAAGTCCTGAATACCTGCATCAGCCAAGAGAATTTGGTTATATTTGAAGAATGAGGCTTTCCTTTCTGTAGACAAAATGAATATGTTTGTTTAGGCTACAAAGGTGAGAAAGAGTGGAAAGAGGAAATGGGAGATACATTCCTGATGCCTGAGGAAAGTTTGGCATAGCACTGTGCTGCATAACCTGGCAAATGGAGTATTGCTTCATATAAATAGTATTATATATTTTATATGCTAAAGAGGCCCATGACTCTATTAAATTCACGTTTCTTTAAAGCTCATCCAAAATGAGCCTATGTTGAAATATCTACAGTATTAAAAAAACCCAAGGCATTATAAAATCGACACTTTGGTAATATATTGTCATTGTAATAACATGGGTAACGAGAGATTCTAAATAAGATTAAGATCCTCAGTGCTATGTACAATTATGTAGTCAAGATAGCATCTTATCCAGATATCTTTCTGTCTGATTGAACAGCTTGAGAAAAGAAAGATTAAAGACCAAATTCATTTTAGAAAGTATCGTGAAGAACTAGACTGTTCCACTAGTGTATGAAGAAGGGCAACAGAACCAAGCCTAAGCAGGGTATTTTTCATAGTCCCAAGTTATAGTGCATTAGTCATAATGCCATTTTTCCCTCCAAGAACCTAGGAAATAAATGCAGCTTAGGAAATGCTCCAAGCTAAGAACTGTTAAACTCTAAGAGATTGCACTAGGGAAATACCACGTGTACTTATCCAACTCCTTCCCCATGCAGAGGAAAGCATGGGCTAGGTGGCCTTATTTCTTAAGTGCAAAACAATAAATTTCAACAATGCCAGCTAATCACGTTTGACGTGATCTGTTGGTTTCCCTGCAGACAGTGGAAATAATACAGGCTGGATGGCAAAGTTGCCCACTGTGTTTATCCAGAATTCAAGATTGTGAACCTGGATATTGTTGAATTTGCAAATAAAAACACATTACAACTGCTGCTTCATATTTGTGAAGTCATTAGTAAAGTTACTTGTGTGAACTATAAATATCCTTTGAAATTTGCAGAGCAAAAGATCAGTTCCAATACTCATTAAATAAAATGGATCAAATAAACATTGCGCTCTGCTTCAGAGCTACATCCTCTCATTATTTAGCTGCTTATTCTTTTATGGGAATAAGCGTTTATGAAATTCTCAGTAAAAACATGCTTAAAACATGCCTGTTGCATCACTCTCACTATCTGTAAGAACTAGCAGCATAGCAAAGAGGATGCTTCTCCCTACAGACCTCACAAAATGGGTTTACTAATCCTGCCTACTGCCACCATCACTGCTCCCCTATAGTTAGGAGGAGGCAGGGACCCTGAGGGGCCAAGGAGCCTATAACAGGTGAAGATGTATAGGCATAAACTACTCTTTATAGTAAGGTCTTTGGAACTCACAGTTTGTCAAGTTTACAACTAAGCACTGATGATGCACCCTACAGCTAGGAAGACAATTTAAAGAAATATAAGTAGCAGGCACAGTAACCAGCACATTCATTCAACAGTAGCAACAAAGATTCTTTATATTTGATTAACACAAATGAATTGATATGTGCAGAGGAATTGAAGTTGAAGCAGAGGGAAATGATATATTGCTTAAAACAAAAATTATTTATAAAGCTTCTAATGAAGCTCAAACTGTGCCAGCTGTAACCAAAGGAAATTTTACTTATCCTTTAACATTTTGAGAAGTCAGAACATTTTCTTAAGTGACAACATTTAAAGTAAAATATTATATATGATGAATACATATTTACAATATGCAGAATATACAGAAGTATATTTTAACTGAAAACAACACACCTTACTACAAATAGCTATGCATGCAGCTGAAAATAATCTAGTAAAATACACCCAGGCACATTTAAGTAATGCATTTTAATACCTGACAAGATATGAAAGACTTCTTCTCTTAGCGCTATAAGATGGTGAAAGGTATATTGTATATAAATTTCTAGGGCTTTTTTATTTTTCTTTCTGTGCTCACACCTCATAGAGAAACAATCAAAGCAGAATAATTTTTGTCTCAGAAATTAAGGACTTCATTCTCCCATTTAGAATAATTCTTTTAGAAAATCTTCCGTAAGTCAGGTACAAATGTGCATACACATTTAATTTAAGACAGTTTATCTAAATCCATATGCAGTCATACAAAAAAAAAACACACGTCACAGAATGTTTGACTAGGCTAAAGTAAAGATTCAATTTGTACTATAGCATATACTTAGCACAGAAACAGTTTTTTTCCCATTCCGTAAGAGCAAAAGGGGTTATACATTCACCTGACTTATAAACAAAGTTTTATAAAGCAACATTCTGGAAATATTCTTACCTCTTCTTTTGTCTTTTTTGATATGACTCTTAGCCAGTCTCCAATCATGCTGAGAACAGCTGCAAAGTAAGCAAGCCCAACAAGGATCCAGAACCACACCACTGGTTTATAAAAATCTAGGTACTCAATATCTGATCCTCCTGAAAAAAAATGAAGTTAAAAATAAAGCACATTTAGTTGTTATAGGTGCAAAACTATTTTAAAATTAATTCTTTTCCAGAAGTCCTATTTCTTCCACTTTCTTACTACTGCAAAAATTTATAGCAAAATGTCATTGTTAAGACATCACAGTCTAAATTCCCCCGTTGCTGAAAAAGTTTTGAGATCAGCAGTAGTATGCAAATTGTACATGATGGTTCCTAATCTTTCAAATAATGAAAATGAACACTGAGAAATTGATTCAGTTTCTGAGATATTATTTAAGTTACAGGTTACTGTGGATAGCCTGAATGAAAGAACTTCCCACCTTCTTCAAACATGCATGCTGTACTAAATTTGAAGTGTTGTTCTGCAATACATAATACATTCAAACATTGAGAAATCTGACTTGCTAGGACTTAGAAACACATCTCCATTACATGAGTCCTTTAACTCTGGTAAAGAATAGTACCAGCATTGAGAAGTGCCCCTGTTGGGCAGTCAGACACTGCCATCTCCATTTTGCAGTAGAAGAAATCAGTCTACAGGGACTTGAGCTGAACTCAAGAAAATGGAGATAATACAGTTGGCAGCTGAAGGCAGCTCTTTTGAATCCCACTGCCTTAAGAACCAGACTCTTTCTTTCTTCCAAGTGTTGAAGTGAAAAAAGAAAAAAAAAAAAAGGGGGGGAATAAATTTCAGAGATGCTGTAATGGAACTTTTATGTCCAACACAGCTATAAAGAACAGATGCATAATTTCCCACAAAGAACAAAAAAAAAAAAAAAGGTTATGTTCATCCAGGGCTCTCAGACAACACAAACTAACTCGTATTTCACATCCCACAGTACAATAAAACAAGCCTTAAGCTTGCAAGTCAGCTATACCCCGTCAAATAAAATCATACCCTTCATTTGGGCTGCTGCAAAGAGAAGTTCGATTTATATTTCTGCCCACTGAAAAGGCCAAAGGAAAATGCTCTTTACCCCCCTTTCATGACAAATAGTAGCTTTCCCTGCTATTGTTATCTAATCATCACACAAGTTACAAGCAAATTTTACTGATTATTATCTTTGGGAGAAAGCCCTCATAGACAGAAATTGCTTTTCTCATATCGAGTCTTTTCATCAATAAAAACTGTTAAGCAGTAGTGGTTTAACTACCTAAGAGATAAACCCATAATGCAATAAATAAGTAAATAAATATGGGTACTTAACATCTGCACAGTTACAGCACAGTCTGAAACAGAAGACAGCCTACCTGCAAAAGTTTGAGTTCACCACACTTCAAGGCAACCAAATACCAGATAAAGCAATTTGTTAACAGCTACTTCATACCAACCCAGCAAAACAGGATTTACCCGTGCCTTTCCCCTGCTGCCATTCAAAAAGCTGTTGATTACCATGATGCATCAGAACTCTACCAGGAGCCATCCATGAACCTCACTCCTTAGTTCACATTCTTCATCTACTTATATAGTGCACAAGGAAGTACAATACGAATACAAATTACTTCTAGAGTATAAAGTTTATAAATGGAAACTAGAGATCAAATATATTGGTCTGCAGGCAGCATTTCCTTCACCATGTCAATCCAATTTATTTATAGCAAGGTTAATTACCAGGTCAGGAGTTAAGACATCTTGATACTCAATATCTTTCTTTGCTTTCTGACCAGGAGATGGCTCCATCTAGACATGCCTAAAGGAGTTAATCTTTCCAACTTTTGCAAGGGGTCATCAAAACACTCTAGAACAGCTTATCAGTTGTTTAGTTCATGAATTTTAAGGAGTCCTTGGGGAGGTATCAATTTAATGAAAGACCATGGAGAAAAAAAAACATATTTAAGGATATTTGCCCTGAGATAACTCTTTCTCTATACATATGAAAAACAATTATATAAAGTAAACTTTCCTTTATTGATGCCATTCTTTTCCCTATTCTTTTTAAAGCTAACTAACCAAAAATTATTTCCGTGTTTTTAGTTCACATTTTACAGTTTTTCAAAACTGTAAGTAGAGAACATAAAAAGCTATTGGTACAGAGTATTGTAATTTCATATTAGTAGAAAACTTCTGGTTCACTCCAAACTTGGCTCTCCAGACCAGTAAAAGTCATAATTACTTCATATCAATAGTACAAATGGTGGGCACAGAGATGAAATTCACTTCAAACACATCTGAAATCAAGCATGCCCAACTCGCAGGCTGCCTGTGGCCCAGCCCAGCTCACAGTGTGGCCACTCCCTGCCCCACACCACGATGGCAGTGGCTCTTCTGCTGAGCAGCCTGGCTCAGCCCCAGTGTGCAACTGTCACTTCATAACAACCAAATACTGGTGTGTGATCAGCACCTCCTGGGCTGAAATCAGTGCCATGTGCACAGTGCAGTGCTAACTCAAGTTACAGCAAATGAAGTCATGCATTTTGCAACACTGGTTAAACACAGCCCTGTGAACACAGGGAAATACGAAGCTGTGCTTTCCATTTTGATAAAGGAATTTGAGAATAGGCTTAAGATTGACTAAAAAATCATCAGTATTTTTGGTTGACTTGCAACTCCATTTTCAGTCGAATACATTAGCTGCAAGTTTTCAAATGGAATGCATAGAGTTGCAATTAAAAATTTGGTCACATCTCTTTAACAGACTTTTATAAACCCTCTCTTACCAGAGAGGAATACTCCTCACCACTTATTCACATCACTGCTTTTGGGCAGTATCTACATTTGTGAACAAATATAATAGTAGAAAATGGAGAGACGCTTCAGGATAAGAGCACAGCTATAAAACACCCATTCCATGCAGTCCTACCCAGAAATCAAGAGGAATACTCATAGTGACTCAAGCTTAAAGCAGTCTGCATGGTTCACACAGACAGCCCCTATTACAGATGTGAAATGCTGAGGTGACAGAGCACTTCTAAATGCCAAAAAGACACAATGCCAGCAGGAGCGAGCACAGTCTCTGGGTTGCTTTGACAAGTAGGTGAAGCGTTCCACTTTGGTGACATTAAATCCATCAGTGTTCTGGGTAAACTGTATCTCCAGCTGAGCAGACCCAGATAAACATATTAAAATGGCAACACGCATAATTCAGTTACAACCCAAAACAGTGAAAAAGCAATATTCTCAAAATCACAGATCAAAGGAAAAAGAACACTTCAGAAGACATTCTTAAAGCAGAGACTCACTTTAATTGCACTAATTTGCTGCTTAACCTTATGAAATATCATTATGCTCCACTGTGAAACACGCTACTCATATATTATTAATAATTTCTGACTTCCACATAATTCAGTCAACTTTTAGGCATCTAATCTACTTTGTATTTGATAGCTGCAAGACTCTCTCTTTTAGAAGCATATGCAATAATTTTCAATTTGAACTCCAGTTAAAGGATTTAACTGCACGTACAAATATTATATTGTCATGCTGTACATATTTTGACTTCATTGCTAACTTCGGTTAGCAGCTTCCTTACACTAAAAAAAAAACAAACCAACATGACATGAAAAACTCTTACTTTCCTCTTTTACAGAACATTAATAATAAGTTTGATATTTCTGTAGCATTAAAGTGTTTTTTTTGCTTTAAAACAAGAGGTGTTTGAATTAGTATGACATGATTTTCAAGAATCCTGGCTGTTCCTTTAGAACAGTTCTGTGTGTGTGTGTGTGTGTGTGAGAGAGAGAGAGAGAGAGAAAGTAGAATGGTAAACTTTCTTCAATTACAAAAAAAAAAAGCCTAAATAATAATAATGAGAAAATACAAGAATTAAGAAAAAAAGTTAAAAATTCAGCTCCCATGCCAAAGAATCAACCCCATCAACCAAAAAAAAAAAAAAAAAAAAAAAAAAAAGTATCCAGTTTAAAAAAACAGAAAAATATTAAGCTTGTTTTTTGGAATAATGTGCATGTATTTTCTTGAACTTTGAATACAAAACCTGCTTGCCTTTTCCCTTCTTTTCCTGTACCTTGAATTATCAGCCTTTTATGTCTGCCTTAAGAGTTCTGTTGGTGGGAAAAAAAAAAAAAAAAAAAGTTTTCCAAGGCTTCAAATGCAGTGGTGCCAGGCAGGCAGCAGCTCACTTCATGTTAGTGAAAAGTGACAGATACTGGAAGAAATCTCTTAACCCCAGTACAGGCTATAACCACCAAAACATTCCTATGTAGGTCTTGAAAACATGGCTTTTCCTCTGGGATGATGGTTCCCAGAAAGATAATATGATAATTACCAAAATATTTTGAAGTTTTTAAATCGTTTGGAATTTTGTTTTGTTTGAGGGAACTTTATGAAGTTGACAGTTATGAAATATCCCACGGAGCTCCAATATGCTACAAGAATTGCCAAATGCTTTATTTTTTCCTAGAAGTCCACTCCATTATAATCACAAATTGAAGTGCCACTGCCTACCACTCTGTTCTTGTTTTGACTGTCATTCTAAGTAGAAAACGGCAATTTACACCTCAAAGATTATTGAAGAAACATGCCTTCTCAGCCAAAAAATCATAAAAAGAACTAAATTAATGCCAGCTTGAGACTTTCTTTTTTTTTTCAGTTGCATTGCCACCTAGGCACTGAGAAGTGGACCGATGTGGAATTCTTCCTGCTTCATGACCCACCACCAATAACCAAAACCAAGAAATGTCATATGCTAGAGCCACAATGAATTCAGATGCTTCTGTCAGATGAAATACTTATGTTCTACCCTACAGCCTTTTACCCCATTACATGGGTAACTCTATACACTTGCTTAATCTCTGTTTAAGGCACTCAGCTTTTCTAAATGTTTTTAAGTGATAGAGTTCTGGATGAAGTCTGTAACAAAACAAGTGACATTTAGTGTCTGTGAGGTAGTTACGACTTCTCTAAAAGAAAAAAAAGCAGGTCAGTAATCATAAAGTCTGCTTACTAATTTGCCTACCTGTGCGACCTGGTGTAGGGAACCTGCTTTGGCAGGGGGGTTGGACTCGATGATCTCTGGAGGTCCCTTCCAACCCCTACAATTCTGTGATTCTGTGAACTTGCAAAAGATTCTGGATGCTTTCTCAAAATTAATAAGGAAACCTAGTTATTCAGGTAAATATTACCAGCTTTATTGAGTACTTGCAGAATCCTTTTAAAAAAGCTGGAGGCCTCAATGCTGAACACAGCACTGCAGGTGGGGCTTTGTGCGGACAGAGCAGAAGGGGACAAACACCTCCTTTGGCTTACAGGTCACACCGCATTTCATGTTGCCCAGGAGACTTTTGGCTTTCCAATCTGGAAATGCTTGCTGTCTGCTCACATCGAGCTTCTCCTCAAGCAACAGCCCCAAATCCTTCTCCACAGGGTTGCTGCTCTCAATCTATTCTCTGCCCAGCCTGTATTTGTGCTTGGAATTGCCCTAACTGAGGAGCAGGATTTCGCCTTGAATTTCATGAGGTTCACACAGGCCCATTTCTCAAATCTGCACAAGCCTCTCTGGATGGTATCCCTTCCCTCCAACCTGTCAAGTGCACAAATCAGTCTTGTACTCTGGTGATAAGAATGCACATTAGTCCACACAAAGAAGATGAAAGTCAGTGAACTTATTGTCAACTTTGTCTCTGACAAAATACAATCCATTGGCCATGTTAGCCTCACATAATGATAGAAGTGGTTTCAACCTGTTCTCTTTAGCATCTTCATTACAAGTACAAATCCAATTCCTACACTCTGAATCTTTAAGTCAATAACATTTTAGTACAAGTCTTGTGCAAATTGCTCTAAAAGGAAATAGAAAACATTCACAGCATTTTGATAGCACCATTACAGCAGAATTTCAGAACTAAAAATATGCTTAAAGACTATGAAAGGCCATGAGGTATAGAACAACATAATTCAAGGGCATTCAATAGAAAGATAATGTGTTTCCTGGTAAAAATTAAAAAAAAAAAACAAAAAACAAAAAACAACGTAGAAACAAATTATGATATCAAGTGGTCTACAAATAGAAATCTGTGGAAATTTTATAATGAGAGTAACGATGAATGTACTCAGTGTTCCAGCTAGAGACAAATGGGCTATTTCACATAATGTATTACAGTAAATATCACTAGGTCTTCATACACAATTATTTTTATCCCCTGCCATACACATGCCCCACAGGAGAGAAAATTTAGAGCACCCAGACTCTGCTTCGAAACAGCATACATTTTTGATTTGGTGTAAGTCAGAATTTGTTCCAAACCACAAACTCCTGAAGACAAAATCAAAGTAAGAAAAACAATACGAGGAAAGAGAGAAAAAAAAGTCAGAGACATTCAAAAGAAATATAGAAGAATCACAAGAATAGTTACTAGGAGCTACTGGGCCTAAGACTCAAATGCTGGGTGCACTTGGACTCATGCAATGGCAGTAATTCCAGATGGGACATGAAAGATGCTCACATCATGCGAATGTCTGATATCTGTGCTTTCCTCCAGCAAAACAGCTCACTAACATCAGCCCTACACTTCTCTCCTCATCCCACTGCTGATATCAGCTGGAGTAAGCTCATTTCTATTACATCTGCCTGACACAAAGGCACCAGAACTGGGAGAGAGGCACCTCTCAAGTGTTGGTCATGTCATTTATGGGATATGCTAAGCCTTCTTCTTATATTATAAAATACATATAAAAAGACAAATACATAGCAAACAAAGCACAGAAAGGTACAACAGTAACAGAGAAATTCAGTGATATAAGCAGAAATCTGGAAAAATCTGTTGAAAGCCAAAGATGCTCACAAAAACTGTGTTGTATAACAAAACAATGTGACACAGCAGTGTACTCCTGTTAAAGTAAAAATGTTCAGCAGACTAAAACACCATAATTCTTGTATACCTCACAGTCTGTGACTACAAAAATAATCTAGGATTAGGTAAAGCATCTTTTTGACAATATAGTACAGAAAAAGAATTAAGATGCATAGAGAGAGACAGTCCCACCTCCTGCCTGTAGCTTGCAACATGATCTGAGGTCCTTCAAAGGACTGAGACAAATATGATGAAAGGTAAAATTGGAAAAGATGGGCTAAAACACCCCCTCTCCAATTCCCCCCTCCTCCCCCCCCCCAGAGTTGTGTCTATACCCCAAACCCACAAATAACATAAAAGCAAAACATATATAATTGTGCAAAATACTATAAGATAAAGTTACGAGAAAAAATTACCTGCAACATAGTCACCAAATCCAATGGTAGTTAAAGTGATAACAACAAAGTAAATTGCATCTAGTGTGCTCCAGCCTTCTATGTGCTTGAATATAACTGCAGGAAGAGCAACAAACAGCACACAGCCAAAGAGTATGAATATTATTGTTGAAATAATGCGAATCTTTGTCTGACTCACGTTCCATTTCTATGGAAGAAAGAGAAGGGGAAAAAGAAGAAACTGTTGTTAATAAAACTGTGCTGCCATACATAAGCACCTATTACCCAATGTGAGCACATTATAGTTCTCAAACAGGAAAAAAAATAATAAAGCATGGTTTTAATTTGAAAGTGTTTTCAAAGCAAACATGACTATCCTAAAAAACATTCTAAAGTGGGAAATACAGAGTAGGTCTTTACTCTTCATTGTGAATGGCTTTGTGGTCTGGGTGGGTGGCATGTGTAACACGCATTGATGTTAACAGCTGATCACTCTAGCTTTGAATGAGGGCTAAGTATTTGAGTGAGCTTCAAGTAGTGTTTGCACTTGAGATGTCTGCTTTTTTCATTCATAAATACCTGACTAAAAATAGTGATTTTAACAGTATTTCTCTCTTTAATCAAATATGAGAGCTGCTCCAATAGCAATGCCTCCCATGAAATCATGGCCCTTTGTATCAGAGGTGGACATCAGAGACATTATGGCAGTAGAGAACAAACCTTCCAGACAATATTCTGTTACATTCTGTTGCTGTGGGACAGCCAGGACCAGAGGAGACTTCTGACAGAATGACTTCTGATGTGGAAGTGTGTGTGAAGCAAAAGTTTGTCACTGAATTCCTCCATGTGAAAAAAAAATATGGCACCCAGTGACATTCACCAACACTTGCTGAACAGTTATGGAGACCCAAGAGTGGATGTGAGCACAGTTAGGTAGTGGGTGGTGCATTTCAGCAGTGGTGACAGCAACATGAAAGACAAGCCATGTTCCAGATAACCACAAATTACTATGATGCCATGAAATGAAAAGCATCGCAATCAGCTCATCCACACAAACTGGCGGATTATGACAAGGGAACTGTGTGCAGAGCTGACTGTCAGCTTTGATGCATTTGGAACAATGGTTGGCAATTTTGGAATATCCCAGAACTTGTGCCAGGTGGGTTCCACAAATGCTCACACAGAAACAGAAGGGCTGATGACAAGTTGCTGCATTCTTGCTGTATGCATACTGATATTACAGGGAAGGGAAAAAAAAAAAAAAGGAAATCCATTATCCCTGCAAGCAAGAGTCTAAAAGACCAAACAAATTGGTCTGATAGATTTTGTACTTTTAAAAACTGAAATTCCATTACAATAAAAAAGTGAAAAGGATAAAAACAAAGTGTGCTCATGGAACGTTCTTACCCTTTTTAGGCAACTCTCAATCAAAATTGCTGCTATTCATCAGCAACTTATTGGGGTTTGAACTGATGACTTCAAATTAAAAAAAAATGTGCTTTTTCTTAACACTGTCTTTCAAACTACTGTGTATGAAATGAACTTCCTTTGCTATAATTTTAGGTACTTGGTTCTTAAGGCTACAGCTTAACATTATCAGTATATGCATGTCTGTTGCATCTCTTCCTCCACTTAGGCTGTGCCACTTTGCATGGAGTAACTAAAGATTCACAGGCTCGACAAAATGAAAGCACAGCATGAAGGTTCATGTCCAAGTTTATCTGAAGCTGCACATATCTTAAGTCCAATGTCAGGCAAGTGACAGCAGGCTCTGTACCATTTAGGCCATCCTGCTACCCTGAACACGCAAAGCATTAAGCAGTTACAGACCAGTAAATCTGGAAATATTCGTGTCTACAGACTGTGAGCATTTCTCCTCTTATGATGCCATCTGATTTTGAGAACTGCAGTTTTAAACTCAGACAACAGAGATCTTTGTGAATCAGTGCAAAGGAACAGTAATTGCCAGAAGTCAACACTACAGCTCAATCCCTCTTTTCCCCATGCCAGTGATTTCCTACCACGTACTGCAATACATTTAAAGGTAAACATCATAGCAAGGTAGGAGCATTTTAAGGGCAAAACAAAAATAAAATGTTTTGCTCCTCCTAATCATCACTGTTATAGGAAATGTTGAACCATATCCAACTCTCAATAAACAGTGTTCAACACGTTCAGAGTTTGCAATGTTCTCCCTACCTTTTCTAGACATCTGGTTACAAGGATGGGCTGCACCCTGTGCATTACACATGTTAAATTTAGAACAATCTGCCAGCATACTCACAACAAAGGTATCTTCTACTTTGGCAATTCCTTTTCCAAAGATTGTCCCTAGTTGATCTCCAACACCAGCCAAGAGAAAACCAAACAGGGGAATTCCCAGTAAGGCATAGATGATACAGAATATCTTTCCACCTTGTGTGCGTGGGGAGATGTTTCCAAAGCCTAAATTACAAACAACTTGAGATGTTTAAAAAGAAGTTACACGTATTACATTGCACATTTGTAAAGGACTACAGGAACAGAACAGTTGCAAACAAGTCCTACTAGGTTAACCACATAACACAGATGACATTGTGGGGGAAAAAAAAAATCAAATGAAAATATGTTGTTAAATTCTCTTTGAACTAAAATTAAACGGCTGTACAATTCACTTTTTTAATACTCTATACATACTACAGAGAAACAAAATCTCAACAGAAAAATAAATCATATACACACACACACATTATATATACACATATATTTATAAATTACAACTTCCCACATCTACAAGATACAGTTAACATCATTTGGTTAAGATGTGCCTTAGCCTCTGTATCCTGTAAATGCCCATAACTGGGCTTGTAATTTGAAGGCTGCAGTGCTTTGAAACAAATATAGTTTTCCTTAGAATATGCTTCTTTCAAAGTGAAGCAGCCTGAAAGAAACCATTTGGATGAATGAAGTAGAAATCTCTAAATTAAATGAAATTGCTTTGAGTTCTCATTATTAAAGCCTCACATTGATACAGTCGCAAACAGAACTTAGATAAACAGTTTTTTCCAGGATCCTGTCCATTTGAGAACTGAAATGATTCTGTCTTCATTGATCATGTAAAAATTACACCCTTCCTATGCCTGTGATGCCTCTATTGCTGCTGTTCCACTTAAATTGAGGAACCCAAAATACAATGAACATAGGCATGTGGCATGCCCTCAAATGTATCTCCCTACACTGGGGGTTTAATGATTTGTCCACGGTCGCAATGTTTCAGGAGCATCATCTTTGTTTTCAATTCAAAGGTGTTTTTTCCTACTCATGCCTTACTAATGCCTTACTGAGGAAAGAGTAAGGCATTAGTAATAATACAGCATGAGTTTTGAAATTATTCCGCTGTTCAGAACAACAGTGTGTACTGTGAAGGAGGGCAGAGGGAAAACTCATGAAGGGAAAAAAAAGGATTATTTTCTATGGATAAATTAAGCAAAAGCCTTTAAAGGAATTACTTTTTTTTTTTTTTTTTTTGTTAGAAAAGAACGTACAGAAGATAAAAAGCAAAATATTTTAGCACATAATTGAGACATCCATGTCTCAGTTTTTGTCTTAATATTAAATTTTGCATAAAATATACTTTTCATAAAAACACTAAAAGCATTCAGTGAACACCCAATTTTCCTTTGAAAAATCTGACAGATTTTACAGATTTTATCTGCTCTATTGAGAACCTGCGATGTCAGTTTTCTATTTAAAATAGCATACTATTAATGCACACCAACTGTAAGCTTCCATAATGCAAAGCACATTCAATGAACATCTAATTTCTCAGAATTTTTATTTAACTATTTTGAGCACATGAGTTTAAAATGGATTTCCCTTCAGGAAACTCATTTATAATACCTTAATTTTTTTTCCTGCTCTCACATAGGTGGGCTAAAGAAAAGCTCTGGGTCAAAACTTCTTCTGCACACAGGAGACAGAACTGCCCCTCACTCAATTTTGTTACAGAAAAAGAAAACATGATTTAAATACATTTTACTCACAGATATTTTGCCCTAGTATCTGCTTAGGACTGCTAATTGTGATAACAATAAATGCAATGTTATAATGACAACAGTTTAATTAGGTTAAAAAAAAGGGGGGAGAAATGGATTTTTATTAAAATTTTACAAAAAATAAACAAAGGACAAAATTATACACTCATGGAATCATAAAGGTTGTAAGGACCATTAAGATCATATCATTCAATCATCAACCCATCACCACCACGCCACTAAGCCATGTAAAGCAATGTAAAATAGGAATCATTGGCTACAAGCCCTGGAACTCATAAATTTTCCCTGCAGTAATATCAAGACAAGAACCTGACTCAGTCCAGGTGAGTAAAGTCAGAATGTCTTTAGGATAACCTAGTATTCTTCCCTAAACCAGAGCCAGAGCTAAAATTACTGATTATTATAATTCAGGAAATTTCAGCTCCATTGAGTTCACTCTGTGCCTTCATGAAGCAAGCAGGAAAGACCCTTGAGTTTTAAAATAAAATTAGCTCATCACCAACCAAAAGGGACAAACAGATCCAAGCTACTCTGTTTTCATAAATATCTCTGTTTATGCAGCAACAGGAGCTTGAATAGCTGCCAGAGTGTAATTCCTGCAGAGTCTTAACGCGATTCAGAACCAGAGTCTGGATACACCAGATTTATAAAACTTGTACTGGGGGATCTGGAAACAGCTCTCCCTTCTCTTGGCTTAAGAACGTTATTATTCACTTACTCCACAAAAATGGTACCATAATGGTGACAAAATACCAGCCCAATCAACCACAAGTCAAGCAGGCAATTTTTCTCGCTTTACTTCATAAAGCAAACTGGCACTTTCCGTGCATCCCAAAGCTATTACAATAGATGATTACTGCTACAGCATACTTCTCATCTACTGCTAATCACTACGAGAACAAGAAGTTCACATTCAGCTCTGTGTATTCTTGCTCTAAATCACAGGTATATTTTGCTTGAGGTAAGGATTGGGCCACTTGTACCTTCAAACTGTTACTTTTCTTCCATAAACAACATTAAGAAAGTCTTTGTATTATTAGTTTTTATTTTAAACAAACCTCACTAACACATTACTGGATAAAATAACACTCCACAGGCGGTACAGCCCATTCCACCCAGCTGCTTGCTGCACACTGTACAAGCTACAGTACTGTCATGACAGGACGCGCTTCAGCAAACAGATACACGAAGGAGCTTCCATTACATGTTAATCATACTTCCTGGAGCAACATGTTTCGTAACAGCCTGCTGCCACACACCACAACCTACTTCTCGAGTTACCCAAATTGCCCTTACATTCTACTCTCTCGGTTTCTCCAGTAGAAAGCAAATCTATCATTTATCTAAAGAGAAAGGAAGCATATTTATATTTCACACTATTGTTGTAATTCCTGAGGGCTTTGCCAAAAAAAAAAAAAAAGTATCATTTCTTCCTTAGGAAAGGCTGCAGAATTCTGCTGCTGAGTAAAACTGAAGGAAAGTTTCCCTCCAGGCCTGGTGCCCAGAAGAAACCATGGGCCCTGCAGCTCTCCTGTGCGAGCAGAGCAATTTTCACCTTGCAGAATGGGTCAGCTTCCCCCAGGTAACATCAGTGCTGTCTTCATGCTGTCCTTCCCCAACACACTTCCATAACCAGGAGCATGATCTACCCTTCTAGTCTCACCAAACCCCTTTCATATCCTCCTAAATGCCCAGCACACCCCTCACACGCATGGAATTTGTGCATTATGTTGTCTCTGACAAGTGTTGTAGACAAGAAATGCATTTTAAAAGAAGCCTGCAGAATAAAGAATATAATGCATTTACAATGGCCATATGAGTAACTGCTCCACTCACCAAAATAACATGCGCCAAGGTTTCAGCACCACAACTCTTACAACCTCCAAGATTCAAGTTTAGATAGCTTTGGGAAATCCTTTAGTCAGCTATACAGCGCAAAGAAAAGGTATATGCTAAGCCAACCAACCAAACCAAGAGACTTTGATAGGAATTACTCTTCCTACTCCCCCCACAACATTCCTCACTTTTTATATATTTGAAAATGAAGGTGTCTAATTTTTCTATCAGGAACAGATCAGCTATTAAGTAGAAATTAGTAGCATTATGCAAACTACAAATTCATTACAAACTACAAATTCATTCATTTAGGTTTTGAGAAAAATCAGAAAGTGCTTGAAACTTCTATCCCAGAGTTTTTCTGATGACATGATAGTTTCTCTCAAAATTGAGAAGACACACTTCTGTTCAAGTCTAGAAATAAGAACATCTTTGCATTCACACTTTAAAAAAAGAAAGATTGCAAATTGATTTAAAAAAATACATCTTCTGTTTCAAGTAGAGAATTTTCTTTTTCCCCTATAGTTCGTTGTGACCTCAGACTTTTAGAATGCAGTGTTAAAAGAATGGACTTCAGATGAATATACAGTGGTGGCTCTGAAAGTTATGCCTCCTATTTTATTATGTCAACCCACTAAGTCAGAGGTGGATTTTGGTGGTATAGCAGGAGAAGTTGAACCTTCCCAACAATGTTGCAATACATGTTGTTGACATGGGACAGATGGCAGTTTGACAAAATGGTGCCTGACATGGAGTACAGATGAAGCAAGTTGTATCAGTGAATTCCTCCACATGGAAAAAAACTACACCCATTGACACTCATCAACACTTGCTGAATGTTTATGGTGGCCCAACAGTGGAAATGAGCACAGTAAGGCAGTAGGCAGTGCGTTGCAGCAGAGGGGCTGTGACATGAAAGACAAGATATTCTGGATGGTTGTACACAGCTGTCACACCACAAAATGCAGAGTATCTCAATCGGCTCATCAGTATCAATCAGCTAATAGTGGTAACTAATTTTAAAAATAACACTTTGTAGGCAAGAACTTGCTCTATTAAAGAGTTTTATTGTGTTCTTTGAAGTTTCTGTTGTAGTTTCTACAGAAATATGCAGGAGGCATTACATTTGGAGTAACCTGTGTTTTTACTGATAATTCCTAGGCAAAGCAGGGCACCTGCTAATAAATTGCACAGAGGAGATGCTGAGCTCCTGCTATGGAACCAAGTGGTCAGATCCAAGCAACTTGGCTGCCATGCAGCAGGTGGCCACACTGCTGCAGGTTCACATCCAGCCTAACTGTGCAGCTCAATTACAGTGATTACCCTTTGGAAAGGGAGAACATGTGTTTTGATACTGAATGTCATATTGATTTTAAGGGATCAAAATATGCTTTCTCTGGGCCCTCAGGAGCTATCTGATGGAATCTGCATGAAAGATATTAAATTTCTACTAGCTGAGATGGTTTTTCCCCCACCTAGAGTGCCATTTAGACTCAAGAGATTATAATATATGCCTCATCATCAGTACCCAGGCAAAGATGCACACTTATTCACAGATAGTGATTTCTTTTAGTA